AAATTGGTTCCAAACATTCAGTCTTTGGACTTAGTGTATTCTCCTGAAAGGAGATCAGATCTTAGAGAGGGGGAAAAAGCATCCCTCTAAAGATATATGATCTGGATGATTAGAAGTCCTGGTAATACACTGAGATTAGGCTTTAACCTGGAAAGTAAAAGGAAGGCAACCACAAACTCTTAAACATCTGAAGTGTGAAATCTTCCCTAACACAATGAAAAGAGCATCTCATATAAATGACAGAGTAATCAGATCCATTCTGAACTTGTATATCTTTCCTTTAAACAAAAACTCAAGCATTTCCAATGAAAACAAGGCTGATAACATACAACACTAGATGAATAACAGATAAATCTTGCTTTAGGGCTCATTTTAGCTGAAAGTTCTAAAACCTCTTAAAACAAGTACTGTGAACCTTAATTGGATGTTATGATAGAGATGAAATGATTTTAAAAGAAAAAAAAATATTTAAGAAGCCAAATCTTAATGTTAAAATTTTCTTTTGGTATTTATTATTTTATGGTGTAGAAGTTACTTGCTAACTAAAGTTTATATTACTGTAAGTATCAATATTTTTATGGGAGAAAAATTATGTTTGCAATTAAAAATTCTGAGGAGCAGCCCGGGTAGCTCAGCGGTTTAGCACTGCCTTCAGCCCAGGATGTGATCCTGGAAACCCGGAATCGAGTCCCGTGTCGGGCTCCCTGCATGGAGCCTGCTTCTCCCTCTGCCTGTGTCTCTGCCTCTCTCTCTCTGTGTCTTCATGAATAAATAAATAAAATCTTAAAAAAAAAATTCTGAGGAGTTAACTTACTTTCCCTTAGCACAATTATGAAATGTCAAGTTTGAATGATCTTCCCCATTACTGTGAGATAAGACTCCTTGAGGATGTTTATTTTAATTTTTCCGTATTTATATTGACAACATTTTGGCAGCCACATCCCTTTGGAATAATATCATAATCTTCCTTTTTTCAGATACCTCCACAGTGTGATGATATCATAATCTTCTTTTTTTTAGATACTTCCACAGTGTGATGATTTTATTTCTTACTCATCTAATAATTTTATTCAGCTCCAAAAATTATATTCAACTAAAAAAATTCAATGCAAAATTTATTAACTCTAAAAAATGCTTTCATCCTTTATAAGCAAGCCATTTTTTTGCTATTTGGGTATATATAAATTTGACAAGCTCTTCATTTAATCAGTTGGGATTTAACAAAATATTCTTACTCTTAATATATTAATCTATTAATCCATACTATTTGTTAGTCTGGAGATTAATTTGGCATTTCAGAAAGTAAAAAATGTCATAAAAGACCTTTAAGTCTTCTTCAGGCACCAATATAAAGGTTGACACTGCATGTAAGAGCGTCCAGCTATCTGACTCATTGCCATTTCAAATGAACTGCCATTTACTCCTTTGACCTTGGTCTTGGCACAGACATAGTACAGTGGTACATATGATGTTACACACAGTATTCTTAAGTGCTTTATGCATCTGGAATTCCTTATGGGAAAACTTAAATTAACTGGCTGAAGACAAAGCTAGAGCTCTCAGAGACAGATCTTTAGTATCAAATTTAAAAACTATATGCTTAAGTAATTTAGGCTGAAGAAGAATAGTTTCCACTAAACAAGCCACACTACTAGATCAGTCAGAAAAATGCATTTGTTAAAAATGTTATTTCAGAGTATTTAGCGGGGTAAAGTGAAGAAATAGAGAAAAGCAGCAGCTTCTCAAGGTAGTTGGTACACTGTTTAATTCACTGAAAATAAAGAACCGTCATAAAGTACAAGTACATATATTCTATTTTCTAATTAGGAAAAAAAAAACCCAAACCAGACATTTTGATGCAAAAATGAAAGCAGAATTAGTGATGTAAGATTAGCGAGAGTCATATATTCCACTGGGTGTTGAATGTAAGTGATAAATCACTAAATTCTCTTCCTGAAACTAATATTACACTACATGTTAACTAACTAGAATTCAAATAAAAATTTGGGTAGAAAAAAAAGTTGCATTATCAGAGTTATTCAATGAAACTTAAGTAATCTTATGGAAATTAGTAAAGGTTGTAGAAAGAACGTTTATATGGTGCCTTCTCTTATTGGTCAAACCAGGGTTGCAAGTAAAGGCAATTATCAATACTCCAATATCAGAGATTGGGGAAATTAAGCCCTCCTTACTTTCTGTGAGCCGAGAAAAAGGATAGGGGAAAAGCCAAAGAAAAGATTCTGCTCAGTATCTCCCTGGGTCAAGGCTTTTTCTCCAGCATCAAACACCACCAGTGAGAAGAATGAAGGATTTTATATTTAATGCTTGTCCATATTTTCACTCTGCTTTCCCTGCACTGATTTTTATTTTCCTGGACTCTTCAAAAGATCACTCAGAGAAGATGTTCTCAAACTCAGAAAGTTAACCAAGCCTCTTCACAAGCTCCCCATCCATCACAGAACATAATTAATTCCAGAAGTTGAGCAGTTGTCCTTTATTCCATAACATCTGAGTATTTTAACTGCTTTTACAGTTCTATCATATTTGGAATAGAATAATTATTAGCTGATAGACTTAAAAATATCAGAGCTAAAAGAGACCTGTGAGAACATATCACCAGGCTGGAAAATTGGTCTGGCAAATTAATTCAACAGGTGGATAGGATTTATTTGGGCTGAATTTGAATGCTTACCAGTAGACTATAACATGTATTCTACAGGGCCTCTAAGGACATATACATTCATAACCTCTGATCTTTCTCAAGGGTATAAGGTGATCAAATTAAATTTGAATGTCTAAATGTAGAATGGAGATGAAAGAAAATCCATTAAGCTGATTAGCTATTCAAAATGAATATGAAGGCCACAGATGACCATTCACAGAAGGCTGCTGGTCTGCCCTCCCCTCATTGTTTTAGCTTCCTATCCAGCCTAGTATGAGTTTACTGAATATATATATATATTTTCAATATTTGAAAGCCAAATGAAGACATACAGGCTATATGTTTACATTTTTATAATTTACATTTTACTTTTCCAATGCATTGTGAGTAGATGACAACTGATATCCTCAATAGTATCTCAATAAAATGCTAACAATTAGAGTATTAATTTACTAGGTGAAAAAGCAGTAATTGTGAATTTCACATAACATCAATATTTGATGCTTTGCTGAATGATAAAATTCTACCTGTGACTGTAATTTATCCCTTTTGTTGCACATCAGTCTCTTATTCAGTACAAGAGTCTCACAATGTGGCATTCACATCAGAGAGCCAGTATGAAAGTTCTCATACACTCCTTACCAATTTTGTGAGACACATGTTCTGGCTCAACCCTATAGAATATTCAAACATGGCCATTTGAAAAAACTGCATAATAGGAACATTTCAAATTTGTACATTTTGGCTTTGCTGATGTATGTTTGTTATCAGTTATATCTCATGGCACTATCACCATGTAGCATCATGCAGTGCAGATGTAGGAAGTTTTTGATACTTAAGACTAAGAAAAGAGGTGAATCATAAAAGTGAAAGGTCTGTTTTTTCCTAATCAGCTCAGAGATCTGGCTTGATATGAAGCAGGCCTCCAAAGATGACAAACATGCTAGTGGATGCAATCCAATAGCTCCATCTTCTGAGTAGACCCAAACACCAGTGTGGTTAAACAGCAAAATTGATCTGGTTTCTTACAGGATATGCCCTTTGGCCAGGTTTCCCAGGGTACATCATTTCCACTGGGATCTGCCTGGAACCAAAATGGTCTCCAGTTATCAGTGGATTCAGTAAAGGAAGACCTGTCAGATCATGTGCAGGCCTGGATGACACAGAAAGGAATGAGACTCGAACTTTGAATTCAAGAAATTTTTACTCATTAGAGTATGTTGACATTTTTCTGAACCTACATCTTACTACTTTCCACTCTTCATGAAAAATCTAGAAGAATCAGCAGATATATGTATGTTTTTTCCTTCTTCAGTTTCATGTTTTATAATATACAGCAATTTTAATCAAACGTCTTATTTGTCACATATAATACTTTTCAACATCAAGTAAAATTCTTTCATTAAAAAATATTACTATTGTGCTTTGTATTTTATAGTTTGGAGAAAAATCTAGTCATAGACCACAGCTCAAGATACAGTTCTGAATTATTATTCTTCCAAGTACAATGCCTCAGGCCTTTACTTTCAGCTTAGCAACCATTAGCCACTATCCACCTTCACCACTGCTCTCACTCCCATGCCGAATTCCCACAGCAGTTTCTGTTTTTCCAAATCTCCTCATATGCAAAATTCATCATTCACTGAACTGAATAACCTTAGGGAACTTCCATTCATTATGACATCAAAACACCAAACCCACATATCAGTCATTTGCAAAGTGCTTGATAGCACTGGAATCCAACATAAACTCATATGGTGTTAATGTTAAAATGGTTGCTGGTTTTGCCAGTATAATTAAGGCGATTCAAAAAGCATAATGTATCATAAAGCTTTAATACATGAGGTCCATTTCTAATTACAAATCCTCTTTCTGGTTCTAACATGACAACAGAGGGACGTCTGGGTGGGTCAGGGGTTAAGTGTCTGCCTTTGGCTCAGGTTGTGATCCTGGGGTCCCAGGATCAAGTCTCACGTCGGACTCCCTGCATGGAGTCTGCTTCTCTCTCTGCCTCTGTCTCTGTCTCTGTCTCTCTCTCTCTCTCTCTCTGTATCTCTCATGAATAAATAAATAATATCTTTTTAAAAATTAAAAAAATAACATGACAACAGATAAAATTTGCTTGGTAAATGAGATAAATTCTATATTGCTTAGTACATAGAAGTATATTAATAACTGAGCTATAGATGCATATATTTAATTCCTGGTAACTTCCTTTCATCTGGATTTATGTGCGACCAAATTCTCTGCATACTCCCAACCACAAAAGTATGCACTGAACCTGTTACTGCTGGGTCTTACAAACTCCCCACTCATCCTAGGGGGGTGCAGGACTTACTTGCTGCTGAGGCAGCGTCTCAAGGAGTAGGAGGCTCCTCCCCCGCAGGTGCGTGAGCACTCACTCCATGGGCCCCATGCATCCCACAGGCCATCCCGGTCCTCTTCAGAGCGTGCTGTCCTGGAGCTCTGTGAGAAAAAAAAGGATGGTCAGTATCATGTCCCCAGTGACCCGTGAAATGTGTCCTAAAGTGTGGGTGTTCTGTATGTCTAAATATGGTAGCCTTGCTGGAGATGAAAACACTAAGCAGATTCTTTCCAATTTAATAATGTGTGTATGTTTGCAGAGAGGGCTATTTGATTTTAAGTTTAAGGACCTAGGGTCATGCCTGAAAGGGACAGAGATTGCATAATGGAGCAACTAAAACAGGGAGCAAGAAATAGGAATCTGGGTAAGGGGTAGATACATCGAAGCCACATTTTGCACTGAAGTCACAATTTTGCCCAAGGAGCATAAGTCTACTCATCTACTACTGCTTTGTGAAAACAGAGAAACTGCTCTCAGAGATGTTTCTGCTCTGAGAAGCTTGAAATGTGTTTATCAGCATAACCTTCCAAAATTTAACAACTCATACAACTGACACATTTTTTTTTAAGGGAGGAACATCATTTCCAGATTTCAGACTTGTTAATTAGAATAACTACATGAAGTAACCTCAGTAATGCAGGGACTGCCTCTTGGCACTCACAGATTTGCTTGTTACTGACAGGCTTCCTAGTGAAATCTGCACCTACTATATAGAAAACTGTTTATGTACCCATCTCCACGTTAAGCCTTACTTTTCTCATAAGAGGTAAAGATAAAATTTGTGCCATAGGCTCTGGAGTTAGAAACTGCCTGGGTTGGTATACGGATTCTGTTTTTACTAAGTGTCCTTGAACAATTAAATTACCACCCGCCTACACTAAAATTTCCCTTTCTATAAAATGGGGAGAATATTATAACCACACACACACATCCATACATACTCTGTAAGAAGATTGGCTAAATGAACTTAGCCTAGGACCAGTTTCAGAGTAGAACATGAATATTACCCACAATTATGTTATTATAAATCGAGAATGTCATATACATACATGCACGGTCGTATTAGCCTGCTTAAGCTGCCATAGCAAAATACCAGACTGGGTGGATTAAACAACAAAAAATAATTTTCTCATAGTTCTGGATGCCAGCATGGGTGGCTCCTGGTGAGAGCTTTCCCCTTGGGTTGCAGAAGGCAACCTTCTCACTGTGTGCTCACATGGCCTCCACTTTGTATGAGGAGAGAGAGAGAGGGAGAGAGAGAGAGAGAGAGAGAGAGAGAGAGAGAGAGAGAGAACACGAGAACAGAGCAAGCTCTCTGGTGTCTCTTCCTCTAAAGATACTAATCCCATCATGAGGACCCCACTTTCATGACCCCGTCCCAACTAATTATCTGCATTACCATCACACTGGGGATTAGGACTTCAACATATGAATGGTGTGGGGGCCACAATTCAGTCCATAGCAATGGTTCTACAAATAGTGAATGTAAACTGGGGTCAAATTATTTTACTGATAAATTAAACATGATATCCAAACATTAAAGATGGCATCTTCTGGTATCAATCAAGGACATAATCATGAAAAACATTAAAGTTCCAAAACTATTTAGATTTGGAAAAAAAAAAAACATAAGAAAGATATACATGTTAGACAATATGACAATTTCATCTTCAGTTTTCCCTCTAAGAGAGAGCACAAGCGATGTGCAATAAATACCGTGAAAGGATGAGACATGGAGGCGAAAAGGAGGGTTACCTCTTATGAAGCATTGAGGGAACTTGAGTTAATGTAAGTAAAGTAACCAGGGCATAGTAGGTCTACAAGTGGTAATTTGTATTGTTATTGATGTTGTTGTTAATTTTGTTTTTAATCACTCTCTCATGGCCTACCTGTTTATATGCAAAGTGTTATCACACAGAAGGGGCTCCTGAAAAAGGAAAGAACATCCTCTAGCCCCTCAGAAAACTTTTTTTTGCAGTAGTAGGCTTCTTTATGGATCAGTTGCTATGGGGCTGCTCTGTTGTCAAATTGACGACTCCTTGGACCTTTTAAAACCTGAACAGGCAAAGCTAGAAACCCCACCTCAGGGTGTTGCATCAAGGCTTGTCTAACTAATATGAGCTTTACTTAGATTCATAGATTCGTAAGTCATTTGAAAAGGGCTAGCCCAGGATAGCATGTTGGTTAAGAGCAGGGACTGAAAGACTACTTAGCCCTGTTGCCAGGGCTGCTTATCGGTCACCTCTTTATGCTTCAGATTTTAATCAGCAAATAAGGATAATAAAGACTATTATTATGAGAATTAACAGTTCATATATAAAAGTCACATAAGGTTGAAAACAGCCCGAATGTCCATCAGTGGCTGAGTGCATAACTCAGATATGATATATACACACAACAGCACATTATTCAGCCTTAAAAGGAAGGACATTCTGACACATGCTACAACATGCATGAGCCCTGAAGGCATCATGCTAAGAGAAATAAGCTTAGCATAAAAGGACAGAAGGAACAAAAATTATATGAGGCACCTCCAGTAGTTGGATGCATGAAGACAAAAAGTGGAATGGTGGTTCCTGGGGGCAGGGGCACGGGAGGCACAGGCAATCGTTTTTTAATGAGTACACAGTTCCAGTTTGGGAAAATGAAGAGAATTCTGGAAATGGACACTGGTGATGGTTGTACAGCAATGAGAGTACAGCCTTTAGGTGTACCTAATGTCACTGAACAGTGCACCTAAAAATGATTAAAATGGTAAATTTTATACATTTTATCACAATAAAAATACACACATACAGACATCCATCTTTCAGAAGCTAATAGGGCTTAAATTAGCACTGTATATGCATTTGCCCCTTTTATTAACATTATTTATTGTTAACATTATTTATAAACACGTGCACTCTGAAAGGTTGTAGAAGGTGCTCTGGGAAGGAACTAGTGTTTTTTTTTCCTACTGGGTTTAGCTGAGACACTGTACTACTAAGGCATCAGCTCTCTGAACACCCGGATGTTCCCACAGCAGAACCTCCCAGCCAGCCACCTGCCACATTGCATTTACCTGGTGTTATGACCTGTCAGTAGTTCGAGGACCCTATAAAATGTGGAACAGAATGGGCAAAAGAAACACTGGTTACCTCAGAGTCTGTTCTTTCTAAAGGAAGTATTTACTGAGCTCCCAAGCCTGGTTTTTAGGATTAATAAAATCAATCTTTAATCAAGGCAATATGGGGCACTCTGTTTCCAGAACTTAATTATATACTGAGGGAGAAAAGACTCTTTGGCAATGAAGTATACATTGTCCACATATCCATTAAATTCATTCCTCAGATTTTTAACAAGCTTATTGTGCATCTTCTGGCTCCCTTTAAGTTTTCTCTGTGTGACTGGAAGAAGTTCTGTTGAGAGCTATGGTATTTGCTGGATGCAGTAACTATTTGTGACAAACATACATTTGCACAATGCAATGTCCCTCACTGTATTCAAATTAAATAAGTCTGAGATGAAAACCAACATCACAAATGCTAGGATTCATGAAATAATTAAAATGAGTAAGATGAGTGATTACAAATTACGATACTATCCAATGATCACAACTGCATAAAAAGAAAAATCCACACGCAGTATTCACATGTGAACTCCATTTCCATGTGAGATAAGAACACTAGAATGCCAAAGCCTTGGGAGGTTTCCCTCTGGCTGCTCTCTAAGATGTTTTGGAAATAATGTATAGCTGAGATGTTGTTTTTCTAGAGAAATTGTTTCAAAGTCTATGTTGAGTTGCTTGGTTTATTTTCATGTACCTTGTCCAAAGAAGCACTAAAACGGCTCTCAGGTGAGGTTGTACAGACTAAATCTCTTACCTCATCATAAGTTACAGCTTTCAGCACAACTAGACATACAAACTGCCCACGCTGCTCTGAAACAGATCACACACGAACCCGGAAGTAAGTCATGGGCCTGTTTCTCAAACTGGAAGATTCTCCAAGTTGTCTTTTAGCAAGTGGAATAAACATAATTCATGTCAACTGAATCCATGTTTAATGTTATAGAACGTGATTTTACTCCTCTTTAACTGTGCCAGATTTCTACATTTACAACCAGAAACACCAATGCAGCAATGCATTTCAGGTCATTTAAGACCTACCAGCATCAGCTTATTACGGTTTTTAAGAGGGCCTCAGTATAAACAACTTTTGTGCCTGGTCCAGATGGGATTGGAGCTTACTCTCTCTTGTTTGGAAATGTGCGTTCCTCTTTACCACAGTAGCATTTTTTTTTAAGTCTTAACTTTTAATTGCACCTAGCAAGAGAAACTGAGGCAGAAATAATAAGGAACTAGATAATGAGTTGCCTAGAAGCAATGATGGTTGTTTCTGAAACCAAAAGTTTAAGCTTTTAAAATATACCTTTGGCAATCTTTCCAATTGGATTTCTGTCAAATAAATATAATATTTTTTAATGTTTTATTTATTTATTTATTTATTTATTTATTTATTTATTTATTCATTCATTCATTCATTCATTCATGAGAGACACACAGAGAGAGGCAGAGACACAAGCAGAGGGAGAAGCAGGCTCCCTGTGGGGAGTCTGCTGTGGGATCATTACTTGAGCCAAAGGCAGACCCTCAACCACTGAGCTACCCAGGCATCCCTAAATATAATATTTTAATCTCAGTATCTCAGAAACAAGCTCACAGATGCTATACAACACAGTGACCAAGAGATTACTCCTGACCCCACTGCAGGGCATTTCAGCAACAGTGTCAGGTGAGTTGGTGAGCGTTTGCTATGAATTGACCAAGAACGAAATGGCAACCACTAAATTCTGTAAGTAAGACTCCAAGTGTCATCAGATTTATCAAAAATGATCAAAACTGCATATGATGCTAAACTTGAGGAGAAAATTCATTATAAATCCTACCCTTATTACAGCAGTCATTTTACTTTGTAGTGGATGGATGGGATAGATGGACAATGGGTACCTCTTTTGAGCCAGCATTTTAGAAATCCAGCAAACGCTGAGAGAAGAAAGGCCTGCCTGCATCTTGGCTCTATAATATCTGAAAATTGAGTATTTGTCTCGAGTTATTCAATTG